TGCACTTAGGTGAGAGTAAACTCCATAACATACTAAACAAATAATTCAAAGAATGGTTATGAGAATAAACTAGAATAATCAAAGAATGCCCCATCACTTCCTGAGGAAATTCAGTGAAGTCCCAACCATTTACATATCATAAGCAATGTATTTAGGATGTGTAAAAGCTGATCAAAATATATTGCATAAAAATTCAATAAAAGGTACCAAAAATAAGGTCAAGTCATTAAAGAAAGAAATTGAAGATTTCAAAAGATGAAAATATGTCTCATGATCATGGATTACTTGGAATAATATAGGAAACTCGACCATCCTAACAATAGCAAACCAAGGTTAAAATCCTAACATAATTATCCAAGTATATTTTTTACTACTTTTTTTTTAAGACAGGGTTCTTCTTTGTAGCCATAGTGATCCTGAACCTCACTTTGGAGACCAGGCTGGCCTTGAACTCAGAGATCTGCCTCTTCTTCCAGAGTGCTGGGAATTACTTGCATGCTCTTTCTGAAGAAATTCAGTGAAGGCATGCACCATCATTGCCAGACATCATCTCAGATCTTAAAAGAACAATTTTCAGCTTCATATAAAAACACAAAAAAACCCAGGATAGCCAAAACTAACCTTAATAATAAAAGAACAGTGGAATATTACACTACAAAGCTATAGTAATAAAAACAGCACAGTACTGGGAAAACAGATACATGGATCAATGACATAGTTATTGGGCTAAATAATAGCTAAAGAATGACATATTGTTGGGCTGCCTGCTCCTGGGTTTTAGCCTCAAGTCAGATAGTTTTGTTAATATGGCATACAGGGGTACAAAGTGAAGTGGGTTGGAGGCTTCAGAGGATAGACTGGACATCTGCTACAAACTTCTATAAGTGACACACATTCTTCAAATTCTGTTGTGTCAGAGAATAGCACTGAAATCATGAATTCAATGTCTGGAAAATATTCATTTCTCTTCAAAAAATGTAATGCTTTATAAGGAAAAAAACCTTCCCAAATGATCACAAAAGACTACTTTTCCCTGCACTGTATGGAATGCCTATTTTCCCATACCCTATTCTGCAGCTGTAATTCAAGCTAAATCCTTGACTGATAATCAGGGAGGTTTGGTTTTCTAATCCAATCATGGACCAGAATTCCCATATTGTTAACTGGAGTGTCTGTCCTTCCTGGTTCCCACAGTTGTTAAGTCCCAAAGAAATCACACAGAGGTCTACATTAATTGTAAACTGATTGCTCTAGTATCTCAGGTTTCTTATTAACTCTTATAACTTATTTTATTCCACAATTCTTGTCTGTGTTAGCCAGAGGGCTTGGTATCTTTTTTGGCGAAGCAGTCACATCTTTCTTCCTCTGAGGCTGGGTCATGACTGGAAACTGAGTTTCCCTCTCCCCAGAATTCTCCTGTTCTCATTGTCCCACCTCTACTTCATGCCTGGTCACCCTGCCTATTCTTCATGCCTGGCTACTGGCCAATCAGCATTTTATTAAACAAGTACAAGAAGCAAAACTTTACAGGGCAAAACCATTGTCCCACAGCACTTCCCCCATCCTTTTTTTTTTTCCTATTCTGTAGCTGTAATTCAAGCTAAATCCTTGTCTGATAAACAGAGCAGGTTGGCTTTCTAATCCAATCATGGACTAGAATTCCCATATCTCAATCTCTCAGTCTCTCCTTATGAAAATTCTGTGGTTTTGGCTCACATGTTACACATAAGAGAACCAGCACATGGTGAAATTCCATGTCTTAAGCAAGGTGTCCACAATAAGTTCATGAGTGTCCAGGAATGGTTTCATACAATTGAGCCTTCCTTAGGAATTATTTTGAACATTCAAATCAGTCAATAGAGAACTTTACAATGCAAACACTATTTAGAAGAAAAAAAAGTTTATTTTCACCAAAGTTGAGATTCTTTATCTTTTTCTTTTGTCAGCTTCATCTTAAAGGGACATCATTGACTTTATTAATTTTTTAAATATAACATTTTTCTATTTTCTCCTTTGATTAAAATAGATACTTTCCCCAGGCAATATATCATGATTACAGTTTCTTCTCCCTCTATTCTTCCCAGTTCCTCCCCACTTTTCCTCCCATCCAGATCACTCCCTTTCTGTCTCTCACTAGAAAAGAACAGCCTTCTAAAAAGTCAACAGCAAAACATAATGAAATAAAATATAATAAGCTAAAACAAAACAACCACTTCAAAGTTGGACACAGCAAGTAAACTACCACCAAAAAAAAAAAAAAAGAGCCCCAAGGGAAAGAACAAGAATTAGGGAGCCACTGGTTCATACACTCAGAAATCCCATAATATATATCAAATATTATAACTACAATGAAAGCCATAATCTATACACAGCAGACATGGTGAAGATCTATTTGACCTTGTGCTTTGTGATTCATTCTCTGTGAGTTCATATGACCTTTTCTTAGTTTATTTAGAGATCTTATTTTCCTGGTGTCCTCCATCCTCTCTGGCTCTTACATTCTTTCCGCCTCCTCTTCTGTGGCTTCCCTGAGCTTTGAGATGTGGGGTTTGCTGGAAATAATCCATTTAGAGCTCTGTATTCCAAGGTCCCTCTCTCTCTCTGACTGAAGGCCCAAAAATGTGAGCCTATTTTCACCTTGTTTGATGGTCAGAGAGTTTGGAGGTTGCTCAAAATTGTTGACAACAAGTATAGCTACACATCCTGATTTAGGATGTGACTACTTGGTTCTTTTGACATTAAGATGACTCATAGAAGTAGATCCATTCCATTCTGACAGATGGTCAGGATATGTAAGCATACTTCTGCTCCTTTTTTTGTAATATGAGGATACCTGGGAAATGACTGCTTTTAGGACACTTGGTCTAGGGTAGCTTCACAGCCTAAGAAACAGAATGCTAACTGCTTGATGTCTCAAAGAGTTAAAGCAATTAACTATTTGAGCTGTCCTTTGTATCATGTTAAGGAAGTCTTTTGTTGCCTACTTCCTCTTTTTGAATTGGGGTATGTGGAAAATTTCAGTACTCACTGGAACTCCCTCACAGTACTATTCTATGTATATTGTTTAATTATTTTTACATCTTTGTACTCTTTATATTTCTCATCCTAATGCCCCTACCCTGGCAAGTGGTACTTTTGTCAAGGCTGGTCCCCAACCTCTCTCTTTCTCTTTCTCTCTCACCATCTCTCTCTGCCTCCCTCCCTCCTTCCTCTGTCCAACAAGGCAAGCTGATCTTCATCATCCAGCATGAGTCCCTTCCTTTTCCATCTCCCTCTCGAAGAGGTGGCTTCTGTCTTTCCCCACTTCTCCCCTTCCCTGCTTCTCTCTCTCTCTCTCCTTTCTCTTCTCTTCTTCCTTCTCCTCTTCCCTTCCATAACCCACTAAATATCTTACCTCACTCTGCATGGTGTGCCTATTCATCTGTCTCTTGCCTGCCGCGTGGCTCCCTGCCCAAGACCAGCTGCCTTCAGAGACCTGCAAAGTGGTCTCATGGCATGCCCATACATCTGTCTCTCCTTCTGGGACTTGCTGTCCCTCGTGACCCACTGCAGCCACATAGGAAGCTGCACCATCCCTGCCTGGGACTGGCTACTCTTGGAACCTGCTGTCTGCTGCCTGCCCCCACTTGGGGACCTGCAACATGGTCACATGTCCTGCTGCCTGCTGCAGCCATTCGGGAACCTGCTGCATTTTTACTTAATCCACTACAACTATAGTTTGTGCAGTCTAAAGAATAGCAAGTCAGGCTCATTCCCCACTACTCCTTCTTATTTCTTTCCCACCTCTTCTTCCTCAATATTCACAGAACCATAGATGGCTTGGTATAACTGCCATTGTTTATGGCTGTGGCCATATACATTTCTTATTTTCTGCATCTTGGACAGGCACAAGTTTCTGCATTCACCACTGAGTTTTCAAATTGAATTTTCTGTGTTTTACATAAAGCACCTTTAGCATGTTTTCCAGGAGACAATCTTGTTTCTGATTTAGGAAAAAACCACAATATCACCATCTAGCGGTGAAAGCAGAACAGCACAGGATAAACTCAGCACTAGGCTGACCACTAATAACTATTTCCTTTCAAAATACTGAGTTCCTGAAATGTCTTCCTCTGAGTCAGTATTGGTAATAATGTAATTCTGGATATTTGGCTGGCAACAGTGGAGGTCTGTGAGTGAAGGATAAAGATGGATTTTTAGTGCCACTTCATTTGCATAGTGATAGAAATGATTTTCCAGTTTCCCTGAAAAGCTATCCAGAGTGAGTAGCTGTGTCTAAAATTTAAAATACTTCATATAGAAATAGAATGTGCTGGTTGAATTTCACCTTAACCTCTTACTTGCAAGGATCATTAATTATTTTCTATGACTGAGTTATCCAGCTCCTCTACCCTGTCTTCAAGCGTGATATTCTGTCTCCTATCTGATTATTCTCTTTGAGTTATTATTAGGCTTACTGAATTTTTCATTTTAATTTGTTTTTTTGTTTTTATATATTTGATTATTTAATGAATTCATTTTTCATATCCTACAGTGTCCTCATTTGTTAGCTAGTGTATTCTTGCCCATGAATCATTTTGTTCCTATCTTTGAGTTGATTCATGTGCTTTACATGTTTTGACCTCCTTGAACTTGAATCATCCTTCTGAGTTCTGTATATTGAATATCATTTAAAATGCTCTCCTTAGGGGTTGCAGATATATTTTGTGATTTGAGCCAACTGCTTTTTATCTTAGTTTTAATTTGTTTTGGGAATGGAACTTGAGCATAAGAATTTAGGGTGTTTGTTGTCTTTTGCTTTGATCCAGGAGACTGGCATCCAAGATGAGATGTTTGGCAGGATATCTTGTAACTGAAGGGTTCAGAACTCTCTTTGGGGGTCAGATACCCGGGTGCAGTGTCTTCATAGATGCAGTTTAGGCTGGCAGCAAGCATGTTGTCTATGTAGAGCGGATCCAGGGCAACCTGACAGCTGGAGCTGTATGGAAAGCAGCCTGAGATGTAGTGATAGGGACAGGGAAAACTTGCAGTCAGAGGAGTTTAGGGAAAAAGAAACAGCGAGTTAGACTTAGAAAATTAAATAGGAAAAACAGCCTGCAGAAGGTGGGTTTAGAGGAAACAAGGTACCAGTAGGAAAGTGTATTGAGCAGGACCAGGCGGAGCCTCTCAAAGAAACAAGGCTGAAGGGACAGGAACTTCCACATTAATTGCTCACTACAACCTGCTCCAAATGACTGTGAGCCCTGGACATGCTGAAAACTGATGTGGACCAGTCTAGCCAATGTGAATGCTCCCTGACTCTGCAACAGAGTCCACAAACCAAATGCTGCTGATAAATACCCCATTGCCTAAGTTTTCTCTTTGTTTTTGCATATCACCTTTCTTTCCTATTGACAATGTTGACCCAAGTCAGCTAGAAGTAATTAAAAGAATACATTATCCTGTAATCCTGGTTGAGATTCTAAGTCAAAACGGAACTCCCTTACATAGGAAGACTCTGCAGTTTTAGGAGAGAAATTCTGTTTTTACATTAACTATTCAGAAATTATAAGAGACAGTTTGACCAAAGCTAGGGAAAAATTGGCCAAACTGAAAGAAAAGTTAGACCCTTCCCAAGGATGGTTTGAGTCCTGGTTTTCATCCTCCCTCTGGCTAACAATGTTGATAACTAGGCTACAGTCCTGCTACTGTTAACGTTTGGACCATGCATCATAAATAACCCTCTCGACTCCCTCAATATCAGGGAGCCAGGGAGCATTCACATCGGCTAGACTGGTCCATATCAGTTTTCAGCAAGTCCAGGGCCCACAGTCATTTGGAGCAGATCGTAGTCAACAATTAATGCTTGGTTTTATCTGCCAACCAAGGGGAAACCTGTCGAGACAAATTCAAACTAGGAACAGAAGTTTAATACATTTGAAACTTTTAGGCCCATATTAAAATCCATATTATAGAAAAAGCAAAGAACAGATAAAAACAGCAAAAATAGACTCATACCTTTAACTCGTAGCAAAAACATAGATTTGGGTTAAAAGTGTGTAGACAATTAAAAGAAATTTAAAATCTTGAGCTTGTGACCCAAACAGTAAGTAGTCATTTTTTAATTAAAGGCAGGATCAGTACCTTTGGAGAAATGGACCCAAAATACAATCAATATTGAATCTTATGACCATGATGATGCTTGGATAGGAGAGCATCCTATCCAAAGGTTTGAAGAAAAAAATGAAATGTCAAGTGTTTCAGCTGTGGCAAGCATGGTCACCTAATAAGAAATTGTAATCAAGGCAATCACAAAACAATGTTTTCTTAAGCACAATTCAAACAGAATGTCTCTCCCTTTTGAACTATGCAGAAGGTGTGGCAAAGGGAGGCATAGGATCAATGACTGTTAAGTCTACAAGGAACAGTCAAGAAAATTCCTTGCTATTGGGAAACTCCTTGAAGGGCCTCAAAACATCCCCAGGCCAAATTCAGTTTAGTCATTTTCTATAACTGTGGAGTAACTTTCTTCAAGAACCTGATACCTCTAATAAGAAGCCTATTTCTCTGGATGACAGGAAAGCTATAGAGAAGAGAGAGGAGCAAAAAAAAATTAGGAGAAAACATAAGGCAAATATTTTGGTTATTTTACTCTATAAGCACTCCCCTACAGCAATATTAATACAGAGTTAAGAATGGATCTTTTTACCATGTAAACAGAGTAAAAAATTGATGTGTAAAGGCTCTCTGAGCTGATCATAAAAGGAAAATTGTGACTTTGACAATTAGCATGAACAGATTCTGCAGAAATTGTAGTACCTTTCACCAATGATGAAATTAGGAAGTTGTGGGCAGAAAGTGAACTTTAGCCAAGAGGCAGCAGTAATCTTTTGGGAGAGCTTAACAACAAATATCCCCAAAGCAAGAGAATTCATTTCATTAAAAGAATTAACTGGATCTTTCTTCACATTGTATGGGGAACACCAATATCTAGAGACCCTACATTCTATACTGATAGTACTTAGCAGAGAATTGTTCTTATTGTATATAATTGTAATGCGTTATAGTTAAAACCTTTCCTTTTATTTAGGTAAAAATGGGAAATGTTTTGGTAGCTTTGTTTGTGTTGTTGCTCTAAGACCACAAATGGAGTAGTACTTTGCTTTGGAAGGTGAGGTTCACATCAGCTGGCAGAAGTGGACCACACAGTTTTATGGCTGACTCAGAGGATATCGAGGGGCACACAGGAGTAATAGGAGACACAGGGGAGATACACAGGCCCTTTTGAAGCTGGGAAGTGAAAAGAGAAGGTCAGTTGATCATCTCTTCATCAGTCCATGGAACTCTCAGGTTTATTCCCTAATATTCAACTCTTGGGTTTTTTTAATTTGATAAAACAATAATAGAAGTACTAAAAGAGAGTGGAAATGGAACTGGATGAATGGGATGACAATATTTTACAATCCTGAGATTCTTACTTTAAAATAGAACAAAAATGAAAGAAGCCTTATACTTCCCAAAACAGCAAACATGAACAGACATTATATGGAGCACTCTTTTCTTCCAAGGATTTCATTTTACTCTGTGAGAAGTAGGACTCAGTCACACAAAGCTCAAAAGCTTTCAGAGCCGTATTCCCAAGAATTCTGAGAAGAAGCAATGTAGAATACAAGAAAAGTATCCTCACATACAGAAAACAGCTGCAATTCTGTAACATTCATTGAGCAGGGTCTGTGCATTGGCCAGTGCATTGGCCATCCTCCTAAAAGAAGTGAGTTAGTAAAAAAATGTCAGATCTTGAAACTAAAATGTGAGCTGTAAGCGTATGAGACAGCTGTGTATCTTCATTACTTTCATCCCTGGATTCAGGAGGCAGAGGCAGGCAGATCCCTTACAAGATCAGGCTTTACCTACATGTAGAGTTCTGAGCAGACAGGGCAATACACTGAATTATTTATTCAACAAAACAAATCCAAAACCAATTTATAACATCAAGCCAATGTAACCATGCATTGTTGGGAAGAGTGCTCTTGTTGAACAAAGGAGATGAAAGAAAGTTACAGACAATGACTTTCATATTGCTGAGTGGCCACATTTATTTAAATGATGATTTCTTATTTTGCTCTAATATATTGAAAAATCTAACTGTAAAGGAGTGGGGCATGATATATTGCCACAAAATAAATACATATTATGATTTTTCAGACTCTAGAGAATAACATTAAGAAGCCAGCATATAAATCCAAATGTGTTAACAAGCCTTTAAACTCAGTCATTAGGAGGCAGAGGCTAGTGGATTTCTGTGAGTATGAGTCCAGCATGCTCTACATAGTGAGTTCCAGAACAGATAGAGCTATACAGTGAGATATTGTCTTAAAAATAAATGAATACATACATTAAAAATAAATAATAAAAACTACCATAAAAGGGAACATATGAAGACACATTTCTGAATGCTCTATTCACATCATCTGATAGAAAATTAATGAGGAATATAAATTTGTAAGTGCTATTGTTTTAAACCTTTACTGTGGTGCTCAATAAAGTATATTTTCTGAATCAATCAAATCTGCACAGGCTCCTCATAGAACTAATTTCTAAACAGGTCCTAGATGCAAAGTTTGCAAGTATCATTATATTCTGTCAAATACAACTTTTTTGATCCTAGCAATTGCTGCTATATTTTGTTTCAAATAAAGGTATAAAAAGTCTGATTGCTTCCAATAAATTTGTCAGTCCCAGACTTTCTGTGGCTCCTCAAACCCAGGTCTCGTTTGATTCCTCATCAGTCATATCAGTTAACCATTGCCCAGTATTGTAAGCATGGGCATGTACACCCCTGTTCTGCCATTTGCTTATTCTATAGAGTGTAATGAAGTATTATATTTAGGAAGTGGTTTCCTGTGCCCATCCCTCACTTTTGCTTCTATCAGGTTCAATGTGGTCAGATGTATATTGAAGTCTTTAATACATTTGGACTTGAGTTTTATGCATGGGGATAACTATGGATCTATTTTCATTCTTCTACATACTGACATCCAGTTATGCCAGCACCAGTTGTTGAAGATGCTTTCTTTTTTTCATTGTTTACTTTTAGTTTCCTTGTCAAATTCAGGTGTTCACAGGTGTGTAGACTAATATCTGGCTCTTTGATTCAATTCCATTGGTCTACTTGTTTGTTTTCATGACAATACCAAGCTGTTTTCATTACTGTAGTTCTATTTGTAATCAACCTCACCTAATTTGCAACTTTTTTTGAATAAAATATATTTTTTTTATTTCTTAAACATACTTACAATCTACTCAGATAGGTCTACATGCATCATGCTGTCTAGAAAAAGACTTAGATGAATATGTTTGGAAATACTGTATTCTAAATATAGAACGATTTTACACTAGATTTCCAAATTACAAATTCAGTAGCTTGGTTTGTAATTTGCAACTTTTGAGGTCTTTTGTAAATCTATGCTATAGTCTAAACAATTAATAGAATCTCCTCTTTGTATTTTTTTCAGGAGCAATTTGTAAGCCCCAACAAGGCAAAATTTTCTTTACTTCTTCAAACATTCTTTCTAAAGTATCTACATTTGAATCAGATTGTAAAATGTCGTCCATCTAGTGGCAAACTCTAGACTCAAGAAATAGCTTAGTATCATTTCCAATGTGTGTTGTACAAAATATAAGCCCAGGATAAGGCTTTTTAACATTTCCTATGGGAGAACATTTCATTGAAATCTCTTAGCAGACTGAGAATTATTATAAGTAGGCACCACGAAGGCAAATTTTTATCTTTTTCTTGTAAATGTGAAGAAGCAATCTTTTAAATCAATAACTATAAGAGGTAATCCTTTAGGTAATAGAGTAGACAAAAACATTCCAGACTGTGGAGAGCATTATGCTGATCTGCTCTGTCCCTATAATGCATTGCTGACATTGCTTCTCCTTTAAATTCCTCTGTCTGAATTTTAATATCTCTATAATCTGTTTGTATTAAGCTTTTCTAATCCCTGTATCTTAGCACTCATATTCAACAACTTTTTAAGAGATAAACCAAGAATTATCAAAATGACAACAAGAATTATCAAGATGATAATTAACATTATGTCAATCCCAATAAAGTTAATTATCCCCTTCATGTTATTGTTCCAATTTTAAATCAAGCATTGCATAATCATACAAAGACCTAACTCTATTGTAATTGTTTTTCCAATTTTTTAATGTAGGAAAAAACTGTTTTAAATAACTCCTCCCTTTAATAATTCCCATTGTTTCAGAAAATCTGTTGCCATTGATGATTCAGATGACTATGAAGTGGGAAACTGCTGCTGCGTAGAACAGTAGAAGCCTGAGTGGATTTTAAGGCAGTTACCAAGTTTGGCAGTAGCCCCAGAACAGGGTCCAGGGAAAGTCAAGAGCCCACCAGGGTAGAAGAAAAACTAAACCTAGCACTGGTTTGGTGACTCTAGCTGTGTGTTATTGTCTTAAACCTTTACTGTGATGTTGAATGTATATTTTCTAAATCGATTAAGTCTGCACTGGTTCGTCATCAAACTAATTGCTAAACAGATTTCATGGGATGGCTAGTCCTAGGGACAAAGGATGCTCCTTGGAATAGATAAATGGTATAACAGGGGTGCAAGTGCCCATGGGCACATACCTGATATGACAGGTGAGAAATTAAATCAGGCCTTTGTTTGAGGAATCACAGCAAGTTTGGTGCTGTGACAACTATATTAAGAACAATCAGAATTTTTATACACTTATCAGAAACAAAATATAGTGACAATCGCCAGTATCAAAACAATTGTAGTTGCCAAAATACAAAGATATTTGCAGACTTTACAGGTTATACAAGATTTATGCCTAAGTGTATTTGTTCTGTCAAGAAATTGACTACTATGGGCCTGTAGGCTTTAGATGGATGCCTCAATGGTACAGAAGAACTTTGGGTGACTGTACAAGCAAAGTTCTCTGTCAATTCTAGAGTTTTGGAAGTTTCTTACAATGTACTTCCTGTTTACTTAGGTAATATTATATCCTTCTGGAGTCTTTGATGGAGTTGAAGAATAGATAGTTACTATTAAAGTTTTCCTCAGTTATGATAAAATATAAAATAGATATAAATATTGTAACTATAGTTTTTGTTTGATACCTGTTTTATTATATGTAATTTTATTATGTTAGAGCCTTCTTTTTTGTTTAAAAAGTAAAGGGAAAATGGTGTAGGAGGTTCTTCTGTTCATGTGTTACTTTTATTGGTTAATGAATAAAGAAGCTGATTTGGGCCTGATAGGGCAGAACTTAGGTAGACAGAGAAAACATAACTGAATGCTGGGAGGAAGAAAGCAGAGTGAGAGAGAGCCACCATGGAGCTGCTGAAGACAGATAATAGGAATTTTACCTGTTAAGTCACTGCCATGTGGTGATACACAGATTAGTGGAGATGGATTAAACTAATATGTAAGAGTTATCCAATAAGAAGTTAGAGCTAATGTCCAAGTAGAGTTTTAATTTATACACTTTCTGTGTTGTTATTTTGGCTATAATCTAGCCAGGCAGCCAGGACAAACAAGGGGCCCTCTCCTTGTAAAATGGGATTATAGACTTACAGAGACTAAACTGACAGACATGGGACTGAACTAGGGCCTCCGAGTATATATGACAATTTGTAGCTTTGTCTTCTTGTAGGACTCCTAACAGTGGGAGTAGAGACTGTCTTTGACATTTGTCTGGCTTTTAGGACCATATGCCTCATTCTGGGTTGCCTTAGTCTTACTGCAACTTGATATGTCATGTTTGGTTGATATCCATGGGCGACCTGCCCTTTTCCGATAAGAAACAAAGGGTGGGGGACAGAAGGGAAGTTGGGGGAGGTGACTGGGAAGAGAGAAGGTAGAGGAAATTGTGGTCAGTATGTAAATAAAAATAAATAAATGAATAAGTGAGTGAATTAAAAAAAAAGATTTACGCCAAAGTGTATTTGTTCTGTCAAGAAATTGACTTAAAATAGTCTAAACATTTTCTTGCCTGAGGGAGTGACTCATTTTCTCAGAAACTGAAAGGCACACAGTGTCCCAGGAGTCATAACTCTAACCTCAAAAACCTATGATGCATGACTCTCAAGGCAGCCACTCTAGGCAAACTCCATGGTTCTCTGCACAAGAGCTAGAAAACATATATGAAGATAAATTCCAGATCTTTGTAATTGCCACAATAGAATGAGATTCAAGTTTTCAAACAACAGATAAGGCAATTGCTCTAAAGATTATTATTTTAGCATGAATAAGATGAGTGAAAACAATTCCTTATAAGCCCCAGTTCATGAGCCATAAAGTTCACCTAATGGGTAGATATGGCAGAATTTTCTGGGCGGAATGTTTTCCTACATAGCAGCAGAGAAATCGACCACACTTCTCTTTCAGTCCAATCTGCATTTTCCACAGTCCTGCACATCAGACAAACTGTGGTTACACCCACTGTACTGCTGACTTGTAACATTTCAAAGGCCACCCCACAGGTACCCTGCATTCATGGTAGTTTCTCCATCCCTGCTAGATCCCACCTTTACTCTGTTTTTGGTTGTGAACCTGGCTACCAGAGAGAATTCCTGGCCTATCAGGTTCTGGTTCAGGTAACCTGGATGGTATAATTAATTTTTCAAAATTCTCTTCCACTAATGCTGCTATTTCCATGCTGACATAGCTTCCCGTTTATTTTACCCTCACTCCTCTGTTGACATTGTCCAGCCCCAATGGTACCTAT